CCCCCTTTTCGTATCCCCCCCCCTGCACCCTTTGCTGCAAGAGAGGGACAGGGGCGGCTTCTTTCCGTCGCGGCAAAGGGAGACAAAGGGAAGAAAGCTCTGCTGTTTGGCAGGAGGGAGATGGGGGCTGGGAGGAGGATGCTGCGCCTCGAGGGGCTGCGAGGGACCCGGGAGGCGCTCGCTGTTCACCTGCGGGTGCCAGGGGCGCGGCAGGGAGGGCCCAGGTCCTGCTCCGGCTCGGCACCGCCGGGCGAGGGGCTGCGGAGCAGGTGCACGGCAGGGGCAGGGGGATCTTTGTCGGGGTGACCTGGGCTGGGCCGGTCCTTGCAGGCCAGAGGATCCATTTTAACTCGGCAAGCGCTCAGCGAGGCTCCCCTCCCTCCCTGCCTCCCTCCCAGGTCCCCAGGCTGGGGAGCAAAACACCCCCGGGGCCCTTCTGATTCAGGCCGGGGGAGCGTGTGCCCGTGTAGGAGGTGCAGGGCTCTGCTAGGCTCCCCCCCAGCCTAAACCGGGGTTGCATTGGGGTCCCTCGTAGTCGGCTTCGCCCCGTTGGCAAGACCTGCCGGGAGGCACCGAGAGAGCCCCCAGATGCCGTCCCGGCCCCGGGATGTTTGCAGCGGGGGAGACGAGCTGCGGCAGAAGCTGCAGAGGATTTAGCCACCGGCTGGGTCCCGAGGGCCCTGCCCAGGCCCTGCAGGAGGGCACCTGGAGGCTGCTCCGGCTTTTCCGTGGGATGATGCTTGCGTGGGGGCTGGGACGGCCACGAGGGAATTGCAGCTGGCCTGGAGCCTGCACATGCATCCCGCTATGGGGACAAGGGGTGGGGGGTGCAAGACCAAGCCTCTGCCCCATGGATTGTAGGGGAGGAGGAGGAAGGAGAGGAAGGTGCTTCTTGGGGCCATCAGGCCTGAACCGCCTCCCCCCTTCCCCGTCCCCGTCCCCGTCCCCCCAGGCCTCTGCACGCTGTCCGAGGGGGCGTCCTGCAGCTGCCGCCTCCTTTGTGCGCCAGGGCAGTTCCCAGAAGGGAAATGGGGAATGAAGTGGGTGCCAACCAAGACCGCTGGACACCTCCTGCCAAGCCGCTGGGTCTCCTGGTGATGCAGCCCATCCTCTTCCCTGCGCCGTTCTTGTGCAAATCTGCTCCTCATCCCATCCGGTGCATGCGTGCATCCACGTGTGCGTGGGCTGGGAGGTGCGGGGACTCCACGTTCGTGTCAGACCTCTCTGCACTTATCTCCGAGGTGGCTGCCCGCAGCTGGATTCACAAGCCTCGCCTGGTCCCGTCCAGCCCTGTTCTCCACGCCGCTCCCCCGCTTCCTGCGGTGCATCCGGCCTCTGCCCCACGGACAGCATCCCACGAATCGAGGCCACGTTTTCATTGCATGCTTTGGGCCACACCTAGACTAGCTTTGATCTCCGCCCCGCCCCTCCTAAAGCCTGACTTCGTGCCTCCTCTGCTCGTTCTCTTGTAATTATATGGCTGGAGAACTTAATTATTTGTTGTTTATTTCCTTAGCAAGGTCCAGCTTGGGCAGGGCAGGGCGGCACCTTGGAGGCTAACTGGTTCAGAGAAGCACGAGCTTTCGTAGTTCCCTTTTACATCGAGTACTTGGTTGCAAGCCTCCTTGTTCTTCCCACCCTTGAATTCAACCCGAACCCGCGCGTGCTCGGCCGATCAGGCTTGTTCTCTATGACCGTGTCTTCCGTGACGCTCTCGCCACCGGCCACAGCATCCCTTCTTGGCTCCATGTCTGGCTGGGAAGAGCTGGGCCCTGTTGGTACCTGGGGAGGTCATCTCCTGTGATGACCTTGCTCCTGGTTATTATAATTTCTGTCTGTGTCAAGCTCGCGGAGGCCTGTCCTGATCCGAGTCTGATCCAGCAGGCTGTCCGCACTTCCCGAGCGAGATCCCCCTTCCCTGAGACGATGTTAACTCAGGCAGATCCTGCATCTCCCTTTGCATTTCTTTGCAGTCTCTTGCATTGTTTCAGGGGCTGCGTTGCTGCCTCTGTCACTTCTCATCCCCGGGGAGAGCCCTGCCTCTCGGATCCAGTCTGACGGCTCCTCCGCCGTGCTTCTGCTGCCTCCGACGCCCAGTCTCACCTCTCGTACAGGTCGGCTGCGTTCCTCTGCCGGGCTCCCTGCTGCTATTTCGGCTAGGTTTGCTAGCAGCCTGTGCACGGTCCTTTCATGGATGGTATCCCCTCCCTGGCTGCGGCTCTCATCAAATCAGCACTTGTTTTCCCCTTGCTATCCATCAATCCCCGAGTGTTTTGTCTCTACAGCATCTGATGCAAGAAACCCTCTGCTCACAAAAGCTCGTGCTATCCATCTCTGAGTGATTTAGTTTGGAAGGTGCAAATCCGCCGTGCCCTCTGCCTGACTGACATGGCATCCGTCTGCTACCTCCCCCCCACCCCGCTATGTCTTTTCATCACCAGCACTTCATTTCCTCTTCATGTGTGTGCAATCCTGGTCACGCAGTTTTAATGACTCCTGGGCATGGAGGTCATGCAGCATTAATGACTCCCATTGGAGGAGTCTTTCTTCCATGCTTTCCTCGCACTGGTCCTTGAGGCATCTTTATTACCTGGTCATGCCCTCACGTGCCTTCTCCTCATCGTCGCAATCAGAGCAGCGCCCACGTGCAACGGTGGAGGGGTAAAGACAGCACTACGCAGTGCGTGGGGGATGTTACCGCTGCTGAGGACAGTCGGCTGCTCTTCACTGTGGAGCAGGGATGGCTGCAGGGTTAACAGAGATTGAGTGAGTTGCCCAAGGCCATGTGGGGAGACTGTGACAGAGCTGGGAGAGGACCCAGGTGTCCTGAGTCCTGCTGTGCCCTCACTGCAACCCATCCCTGCTCTAGTCGGCTCCACGGCGAGTAATAGCAATGTGCCGGTGGCCTCGCACCCCGCAGCCAGAGGTGCCAGCCTGGGGCAGAGCACGGGGGAGGCTGAGAGGCTGTGGGTGGGGGAGAGGATCTACTGGTTAATCCTGGTGAACTGCAGCATCTAGCCACGTCAAAAAGCTCGGGCTGGGCAGGGAGTAGAGTTCGCCGTGCTGCAGCCCGCCCTGGCTGGGATCGGGGCCGTGCATCGCTTGTGATCCTGTAGCAAGGTGATTGCTTATGTGACTTCCCCGTCTCTGAGTCCGTAATTTTCCCTGGGAACTGCCCCACAACCTTGCTATCTGCAGCCATGAGTGACCGGCTCCCCGTTGTGATGTGCCCCTGGGCCCAGGGGTGCATTAGACCCAACTGCGCAGCCTGGACCCCGTGGGCTGGAAGATCCACCCACCCTCCCCATTGCACAGGGACCTGTGCATGCCTCTCCTGCTAGCACATGTGGGACATACCGGGTATGCCGATGCCAGATCCAGCTGCACCAGGGCAGGGGTCATAAGTTTGCATGAAGACCTCAGCTCCACAGCGATCGGCGCTTTGAAGGCGACGAGGTGGAGCCTGGTAGGAAGTCTCTGCCCCTCCCGTATTCGTGGCACTTGCTTCTGGAAAAACCCAGCCCAGAGCTGCTGCACGAGCTGCTCTTGCCCATCGCAGCTCTGTCCTCTCTTTCCCGTCTGGATTGCACAAAACGCTGGGGCCGCATGTGGGGTGGATCCTGGGTGCAGATTTCCAACCCTCTCCAGGAATGGAAGAAGTGAGGTCCTGAGCTCAGAGGTTGGACGGGCCTGTCAGGTACTGGGTGATTATCACCCCCCCGGGCCAGGGTAGGATGTCTTCCCTGAGAATATCTTCCAGGGCCTTGCCTAGTGTATGCATGCCCCATCCCTTGGCCTTATCGGCGTGGCTGCCCCTGGCCCCGCTGGCTTGCCTTTCTCTGGTGCTCAGGGGTGGGGACAATCCCGCGGGCTTCCTCCACATTTGCCTGCTTGCATAAGTGCCACGGCCCATGGATAAAGGAGGCAGACTCGTGTGTACGCCATCAGCAGAGCGTCCCCCCACTCAGGGCCAGATTTGTGGGGGTGCATTGCTGCAGTCGTGCCCCTTTAGTACCTGCTCTATCCACACTTTAAAACCATCTCCCCAGGAGGGGCAGTGGCATTTCTATTCAGGCGGTGCTGAGGGCCTCCCTTGACTTCACGGCTCATTGTCTTCCCCGTGATTCCTGCTGATCTCTCTCCCTCTGCAGGTGTTAACGACTCTCTCTCCTTTTCCATGGCCCTGATTTTCTGTTATTCAGACTAATCTTTTCTTCTGCCGTTGTGCTGTCTGTCAGCGATTCCTGGTCAGGTCTCTTTTCCATTTCACAGCCCTGTTTTGAGCTGTAGCTAAAAACCCTTAACTCGGGGGCAGTCATACAAACTCAGGTGCATGAGCGAATATTAAAATGAGTTAATAAAATGACTGACAGTGAAATATGGGAGACAT